GTTGGAATTGGAAAGAAATACAGATCTAGAACCAGTTGCTGCTGAAAATGGATAAATATGAACGTTCTGTGAACTTAAGGTGCATACTAAGGGTAGATGAGTTTACGGAATTTACCGTTTGAGGCGCCGTGGTTGGATTTCCTGATGATTTATTTTGGTCAGTGTAGCATTATCTGTTATAATTTCGAGCGGACGCTTCATGTCGTTGACCCGACATAGTCATGATCTGTCTGGCTTCAACGCCCCATTTGACATTATTAGTTCTGTATCTCTTCGCGAGATTAATAAGTAAACGTAATCCCTTTACACACTGATGGTCATCCGGAAATGAACTACAGTTAGCTTGGCAGTGCTTATCCAGGCGAGGTCTTCTGTCGATATTAACTAATGCACTAGACGGGCAATGTAAAACTTATGTGCCATGAAACCCATATGTCAGTTTACACTGTCAACTGCCCAAAGACCGCCTCCATAATCAACTGGATAGAGCGTCTGCCTGGAGAGTGGAAGGTCTCCGGCCGCGTCATACTAAAATACGTTAAAAGATGATACTTGTTGTTACCCTGCTGGCGCTCGGAATCAAAGGGATAAAACAAGGACTAATCGGCTTGCAGTAATAAAACTGTGTTTGTGTGGGGTATTCATGTTAAAGGGGCACTGATCTAACGCAATTCCCCGGACTGGTTGTTGCCTTTGTTATTGTTTTTTTCCCCGGATGATACGCAACGCAACTGAGCGTGACCAGAGACTGGGCTACAGTCTGCAAGGACAGCTAAATAAACTTGGAGGCTGAAGACAATTTTTGTTTTACGCATTTTTGCATACACAGATTGGTTAACTGTGATCTATAAAGATTTTGACAAACAAACAGACAAAAAGAACGACGGAGTTCATCGGATGTCGTCATTTGGAAATACCCCAGATGGTTATAGTTTAATACCAAAAAAAGTATACATGCAGTGAAAGCATTTTCGGATTTCCGATTGCGTCGATAATACGATTACTACCCACTTGTTGTCATCCACGTTTTCTCGTATAACCCTGCACTTGTGTATTTGTCGTCATTCACTTGATGCTCAGTTAATGAATTTATTACAGGTACAATTAGTGGTAGCACCACTTAGATTACCTGACAAAGGTTCCCATTTGGCATTTATTGTGTCTGGGGTAATTATTAAATCTAAATCCAGGTTTGAAGTGAGATGAATATGCACGTGGCAGCCCAGCAAGAGATGAATGATCAGTTGATTTACTTTTTTTGGTAAATCAACGGATCGTACCTAGTCATCAAAGGATTAACAGAAAAACCGTTGATTGATTAATCACTGTTATCTTGCACAGTGGATATGTCAAAAGTGAGTGTTTACATGTCTAGGTTTACTAAAACAAAGTGAATACACTCATATCATGGCGTAAAGTGCCGATGTAAAAACAACATACTTTGTTCAAAGGGTTAACTGATAATACGTTGATTGATTGATCATTGTTATCAATCACTCAATGGACTTTTTAGGAACCGTGGACAATATGAAAATAGTTGTCACGTGGGCTTTCTCAGCCGACCTTTGAGACTTGACACCTATGTGAAACACCAGAAACAATCCAAGTGACCAGTTGAGAAACGAACACGGGCTATAATATCCCGAAACGATATATATCTTTTAAAATATTTGATCGTTACAGAGACACGTGACATCGAATAGGTTTCTTTGTACAGCTGCAGACGAGTGGGATATTGTTCCTTTGTGTGGATATTCACGGATACATTCCTCGAACAAGGAAGCTGCTTAAAATTTATACACATAAATTTGGTAGGTTGTAATTATGGTATTTGCATTTTGTTTTCCTTCATTTGAACCGATTCGTTCTTGTTTCTCTACGTCTTGGTTGGGAAATTCTTCAATGCGCGATAGACGTTATTTTCACAGGTCTTTTCCTTTGTAAGCGTGTATATATTACCGTCAATTTGTAAAATGTGATTCTCTCAGGCAATTTATAAAATGTGTAAATATTTCAGTCATTTTGACTAAAATATCTGTCCAGATTGATTAAGACGATCAAAAGGGCCTACAAACATTACAGATTATTCTGTAGGATTAGAAGCCAAACAACATAGAAAAGTACTTTTCAAGTAACATTTTCAGTCTCTTGGTATCAAAATGTTTGGAATTCGTTATCATAATAATACAGATGGAAATGTTTTTCAGTCACTTTGTAAAATAACTGAATATTTAGTCGTTTAATAAATTTGTTACACATTTTGACAGTAAAAAAATATACACACTATAAAAAAAGCAATGCTCAGGTGAAATATTTACTTTGTGTTGCAAGTCGATATAGTGTAAACAAAAATCGCAAAATTACCGAGCAAGTCACTTATCAAAACTTCGTCACCATTACCGATGCTACCCACAAAGATATCTACATTTCCTTATTATCTCGAAAACTGTATTTAATTTTGTTGATCAATGTGACCATACGCCCTTATTACTACCCATAAAAGTGACTAATGCGCTTACGAATGGCGCAGCAGAGGTCGCGAACTAGTCTAGATTTCTGCTATACATCCGGGTACTCACTTGGAAAAAATAATAACAAAGGCAACAACCAGTCCCGGGGAATTGCGTTAGATCAGTGCCCCTTTAAACTGTATCTCAGTGAGCTGGCACATTAAAACCGGTATTAGTCCGGACTAGTGCAAGCGGTTACACACACACATACACACACGCGAGCACGGACGCATGGACGTCGCTATGGAAGTGCAACAATATTGTAGGCGACGTTAAACCCAGCTTCACTTCTCATCTGCCCAGATTTTGGCACTTATATCCTGTTGGGTAGGTGTCAATTATTTCTGTACGGTCCTTCTTAGGTGCCAGTTGGAGTAAGCACTTACGTGGACCTTTGAAAGTTCTACAGATCCCATGGGAATCCCATGGTAGTGGAGACCCCAAACAACTAATGCCTGTGTAATAGCCCATTTAATGCACCCGATGTGTTTTTTATCCTAATGTCAGTCAGTGGTTTGTCTGGTCCAGGGTCGATTATTTACAGGCCTTTTTCATATAGCGGGTATATTTCTGAGTGCTGCATTAAACTACAAAGAAAGAAAATATTTAACATTTTATAGACATATTGAACAAATTGTGCTAATTTAGTGATAATAAATAAATACGATTTCTCCGTTAGCTGTATAACGTTAGCCTTATCTCAAAGCGTCAATCGGTCAGAAGTATTCATCCTCGCGTCACGTGAAGCCAGTCCAATCATGAACTGTTGGAGCAGTGTAGAAAAGCAGATAATACCAAACCCAGTCCTTTATATACAGACATACCATGTATTGCTGCTCTACAACTCTTGAATTACATCCTCCGGTTTGTGAAGCATATCGATACCAATCACTCACTACGACGTGGTCCTTCTGGTGCCATGCACGTGTGGATGCCCTGCTCACGTGCCTGCTGTGTGAAGAGGGGTCTTGACAGTGTTCTAATTCGCCGTGATTTGGCCGCACCATGCTTCGCTTGTCATTTTTTCGAAACTCATATCCGTCCCGATAATATAAAATGTTATGTCAGAAGAACTGTTCAAGGCGGAAATAGTCTGCTCTCAAACAAATAGACAGCTTAATACAGTTTGTCGCAGTTTCCAGAGAAGTGTGGTGTATATGATCGGTTTCTGATTGTGTGGTCTAACAGAAGCTTCCACATTAAGCTGATTTACATTCTGGATCATGCTAGACATGACGGCAAAGACGGGACGGGATTAATGAATGACCTTTCCTGTTCACGCGTCCTGAATAAGCCACTCTGGGACATAATTAAAGTCATGAATGGGACATTCTTCTGGACGAGGCCTTCCGGAATTGCGCTGTATACTATTAGCCGCATGTGTTTATGTATCGTACATTAATATATCAGGAACAAATTATGCGTATTAAGATCTCAAAAAAGGTCTTCCGGAATTGCGCTGTATACTATACTCATTACTTGTGGAACACCCACACCTGTCATTATATTAAGCTGGCACCACGAAGACTGGATAGAAACACTAACTTACATATATACACAGATTATTAGCCGCATGTGTTTATGTATATAATATGCGTATTAAGACCTCCAAAAAAGGCTAGCAGACGTTTTGTTTATATATTAATTAATCTCTTTGTCATCTGTCATTCTTAATATAATCGAATTTTGAAACATATTTCTATTCCCTACAGTAACTTTAGATACCGCGTAGGAATATAAAGTCTGAGTCAACCGCCCCATTTGTGACGTAGTGCCATATGGATGCAGCCATGGCCGTTTGCATGTGGTCTCATACATCGGGAAACAAGTAACGTCATTCAAGGAACGTCATGCAACAGTGTTGGGGAGAGTAAACCCCACATCCATCTGTAGAGCTTACTAAAAGTAGTGTGTACAATGTGTGAAGCCCATTTCTGGTGTCCCCCGCCGTGACATTGCTTGAATATTGGTTAAAGCGGAGTGAAACCATACTCACTCACTAACTCACTCACTACAACAAGTAGTTCCTTCGAGGTGACTTCATTTGCATATTTACCGAATCCTGATACCATGCATGTCTTATTGGTTAAACGCATCGATAGCACTATCTATTATATATCTACATACATAAGCCAAATAACTAAGGTGTCAAAATAAATTCTCTATTTGTGAGATCGTTTTTCTTTATTAAATGCATTCGAACACATACACACGCACTCACGCACGCACGCTTGCACGCACGCACGGTTATAACTCAAAAGATCCACATATATACAATTGACGGGACCAAAACACTGTTCGTTATAAGCGTGTTCGTTATAAACGTAGCTTACTGTTTATTTATGTATGTATAGAATCTCACCTGAGTGTCTATTGATATGAAATATATCAACACGAGTTGATAAAAAGTGGTAAAACTCCGAGACTTTCATTGTAGCGATATCTCCTGTGGGAGCCAGTTTATACATATAAAGCCAAGGGAAGAAATTATATCTTTCTTTCTTTTAATAATATTCATTCTCAGCATGACGCATAACAGACAAGCATGATACACGTGATGCATAACACTGAACGCGAGCGTACATTGGAGCATAAGACACTGAGTCAGCGTAGCAATAGATCATCAGGTACTCCATCACCTCAAGATGTACGTGAAGCAGACTGCCAAGTATCAACGTGATTCGACTTGTTAGGTTGCAGTTAGAGTCATAAAATACAAAGTCTGTTCCGAAAATATAAGTGTCATCATCTTAATATGTCTTGGAAATAATATAAATATCACACAATCTGATACTCTGAAAAACGCCATACACATGCAGTTACCATCCTGACGTTGTGTGTACATGTAAGCCCCAGCCTCAAATACTGGGATGAGGATTAACGTTGAAGTTGCTACATTTTACTGCAGATAATATGCGTATGATGACGACACACTTTTGATGAGCGCTGGAATGAATAATAACTCCAACACCATCTCACACATACAACATCACACGTTCCCTTTTACGTACACTGGGCCGTTGTTGATATTATATAATCATGGGGATATATTGAGCCGTGTCCTCTCAGATAGATTGCGCCAATTACTCCCTCAGCACAGTCTTGCTGTGCCCCTCCATGGCACGATTGAGTTGATTCTGTTTACACGTCGTCTATGTCGTGACGAAGACTAAGCTCTCTGTCCAAGTAGACTGATGCCGCTGCCTTCGACAGTGTTCCTTGGTTGTCAAACGCCATGGACGACTTAACCACAACGGTGGACATACGGCGTCTCCAACTGCTCGCAAGGTGCAGGAAAGTTCTTCTGAACTTCCGGCCGAGTAAACAATAGAATATGAAATTTGCTGCAGAATTTAACACTTTGGCAATATCGCTAATCAGCTCAAACAGGATCTTCATTTTGGCTCCACAGGTGCCATCTAAACCGACCTTTGAGGGGTCGAATAGTTTACAGAAGGTGTCCTCGAATGCCGGGAATGGATACGCCAGGAAAAATACCGTTGTAACGGCGATGACCGGCAACGTCAGCCGACGGCCATCGTCCGCGGCACTCTTGGAATGACAGTTATGGCGAATCATTGTAATTTTTTTTACACAGCGAAGTAATAGAATATTAAACACAGTCATTGCCAGCCACGGTAAAACATACATAGCCAGGAGTTGTATATAGATGCTATATACTTTTGTGTAAATATACTGCTTTCCAAACTCTGACAGATGTACCTTGCTCGTCGCAGTAGTATAGGATAAATCCAGAGCAACATAATGCGGAATATTGTATATCAAACACCACAGAAATATTCCTAGCGAAATCTTCTTCGCTGATGATAGAGAGAATATAATACGAGCTTTTAACGGCTTAGTGACGGCTACATACCGTTCAATGGTCACCATGAGGGTCATAAAGATAGTTCCGGTTTGGGCAATGTAGCTTACAGGGATGAACAAGACGTAGGTTATCTTATGTATAACGATACTTGTGTCGCTGTTACTCTGCAGGTCGGAGACGCTTTGCCATATGGCGACTATGAGAATGATGTTGTCGTAGATTGCTAGAAGGATGAGGAAGTATGCTGTACTACACCACATTCTCTTCCTCTGGAGGACGATGATCGCTAACGTGTTACCAATGAATCCAAGAATCGCGACACAAAGACCTCCAATTCTGAACGACCTGGCATGGGTAAGAACAAAGAAGAAAACGGCATAGTCCGCGTGCTCCGTTTTGTTGGAACTAGTTAAGGTGTAGTCGGTATCATTTTCCTCCATTTTTTATCACAAAAATTAGACACATTAAATTCCAGGTTGGGCAATATTAAACACGTTCACATTTGACATCCAGTAGATATCCAGCACAATCCGTATGAAGTAAATGAATCTCCATCCTCTTAGAAAGCTGATCGGTCTCCTTGTTTAATACTGTGTCACCTCGCGTGGACACACTTAAGCAGCGGGTGCTTAGGATGGTAATCAAGGCTTTGGTTATTAACAGCCCTATCGTGGGACAGCAAAACGCTGTATGTGTTCACAGAGGCTGATAGCGTGGTCTCTAATGCAGCATGTAATAGCTGATCTTCCCTTCTGCTACAAGTACAGAGCATTCCCTTCACCTACGGACTCTCTGACATGCTAAGTCCCTCCTAGAGCGGTACACCTCAGGCACAGCTATCTGAAAGATCCAAATGGTAAAGATTTTACACACATATATTCAACATGTTTCACAAAATCATCCAATCAGGAAATAAAACAAAGAATTTCCAGCTACCGATTTGCATTAATAAGCAGAAGACAGTTCAAGGATCTTTCGTATATGTGTTTACCATTGCAAAGTATTACTGGACGCCAGATCTAATTCTTATAACATTTTACCCGTGAAGATCAGGGATAGAATAGATCTTCAGCAACCCATGCTTGCGGTAAAACGCGACTATGCTTGTCGTAAAAGGCGACTAACGGGATCGGGTGGTCAGGCTCGCTGACTTGGTTGATCCATGTCATCGATCCCACATTGCGAGGATCGATGCTCATGATATCAATCACTGGATTGTCTGGTCCAGACCCGATTATTTACAGACCGCCGTCATATAGCTGGAATATTGCTGAGTGCGGCGTTAAACAACAAACTAACCAAACAAATCTTATAACATTTACAAGTTATATTGACTTCGTGCAGAGTTAAATCTCACTACGCCATAATCCCTAAAAAATAAAACTGTTGTGCCTTTAGGCATAACAAAACACCAGCAGTGTTCAGACCGTGCTGTCAGAAGCTTAACTCTCCTGATGAATTCAAATTAAATACACGAAAGGACGTCAATCCCAATCCGATCAAGCTAAACACTCTGTAATCCTAACATGGTGTTGGCCAAGCATTCGGTTATAGAGCGGAGGTTTATATTTCTGATACATTCCAATCTTCTTGATAAAGTTAAGAGTTTTTCTATGTTTCTGTGTACATTACCCATTAGTGTTATTTGTAAGTATGCTATTGTTGCACGTACATGTATGCTATTCCATACTATTCTATCTGACACTCCGCAACAGTTCGCAAGTTTAATTGCTGCGTCAGGGATGGTGGTGTCCTGTTACGGAACATATTATAAATTTAAGGGACTGACCAATCGATGCTTCAGATATTTGAAAAATAAAAATTATCTGACAAAGAAATATATTGTTTCAAGATTGCAAAGAAGTATTTGAAAAGAAATAGATTCATAGCTTAAATTAACAAATATAAAGAGGAAAATTCATGTGTCGTGTGAAACATCATGTTTCGCTCATTGAGTGACGGGGATAAGGGGAGATATCTTCACGAATGGCGAAACTAAGAGTGAAAATATCTCCTTTTTTCCCGTCACGAGATGAGAGAAACATATTATTTCACGTTACACATGGAATATCCTAGTATTTATTATATACTTTTTGTGTATATACCACCGGACAATTAAATTATTTCATTACAAATGTAAAACCTTAAAACGTAAATTCTCCCTACTTAACAGACAGGGACGGGTCACCACTTGTATTTGCGATTAAAAGTGTTTCGTGTTTGCAAAATCATAAAAAAATATAAACAAAAGTTACAAAAAGTATCGCGTCAATTCTGTATGATACATATAGATATGATTATCTACAAAAAACGTCTCAATTCAAAATAAATTCACATGTACTACAAATACTACATCAGAGATATCATTGATAATGTAAACAACATTACAAAGTAAGTAGTGCTCGGGAACAAGTAACGGTCTGTGTTCAAGCCAGAAGTGTGCTTTATCCTATCTCAACTGATTTGTTTATTGTCTCCGCCTGTCTTCAGCAAATACAATGCAACAACAAAGTTGAAATACTGGTAACTTAACTGGTAAGAGTTCTTTAATGTATTTAGAGTTTTCGTGAATGCGGACATTACATAAGAGAAGTAAGAAATACATTATGGTGATATGTTTTATAGTATTTGAAACAAGAACGTGATGGATTTTGTTTTCTTGTTGTTGAAATGTATTTCGTATTTGCGTTTAATCACAGCTATCCTAATTATAAAAATAGTCTTCGCGGACAGCAGATTAGATATGACACACCAATGTGAGCACATACGGCATCTTCAAGATTACGACGACTACTTCTAGGAAAACAGTAAAAATAGCGCCTGGAAGAAGATTCAATTTCAAGTACAGATCGCACACACGGGTCATGCTATTATCAACACGCAGGTTCGTGGTATATCTGGACAGATAGTGAAAGATAAACTAAATAACTTGAACTATATAAAGCTTTGCTAAGACACCAAAGAAAAACATTTCATCATTATCTCTACCTCTGTTGTAATCCTTATAAGGTGATCGTGCATGGTCTCCACGTACAACACATTTTATGATATATTTATGGTATTAATTTGCATTTGATTGCATCCTGTATCCGTGTGGGTAATAGGTGTGGTGAGTACGTATGCAACATCCAAGCGCACATGAGTATTTAGTCATTTTTTTTACATTCCGGAAGGAACGTCAACCGTATACCTATATCTTCATGCATGTTTGCACTAAACCTCATACACACTCATCCATTAGCTCATTCGTAAGAGGCGACTAACGGGATCGGTTGGTCAGGATCGCTGACTTTGTTGATGCATGTCATCGTTTCCCAACTGCGTGGATTGATGCTCATGATGTCAATAACTGGACTTTCTGGTTGTCCATCCTTGACATCATATCTGTTTTTAATTCCCCATCATTGACAAACCTACTCAACGTCAGCAAAGAAGGTTAGACGAATAAAGCTGAGAACTAACCATAGATGAACATTAAGGTATTTATGAGGTACAAGTGTAATCACTAATGTAATTAGGCATTCATCTGAAGTTACTGGAAAGTTCCTGTCGGTGCTAATACATTTGTGCCGACATGGCAATCGATCTGATGGTGCAACTGCCTTGCCTCTACCCACGCACCTGCCTGTTCTGCCTCTCTGACGCATGTCCGTCCTGCAGCTGTAATAGGACATGCTACAAGAGTATCACTTCACCAGGGGGTGATCCTCAACATACAATAAAAACGGCTAATGTAGTCATTAATCTTCTGGAATGAAGTCAATTGCAATCCGCAACAGAGATCATTGGTGAAACTGTTCACGTGAATGGATAATTGGGAATATAAGGAAATGAAATTGTGAAGGAGGCTTACCTTTTTGCAACTAAATCTGAATGTATATGGACACAAAAAAAGTGACAGCAACCCTGTGTGACCAAAACATTGTTACATTTGTTATATGGGATTAGAAACTACTGCGATTTGCATTTAGAGTATTTTAAAGTAGATTTTAATTCACCAGTAACACATATACAACATAATCTACTCTATTTCGGACATATTAACTCCATTGTACCATGAACAATTGTAATTTGTGTGTGTGTGATTTGATTCACCTTTTGTCAAGTAAGAAACGAGAGTAATTGTAGTATCAAAAGTATATTGATTTCCCATTAAAACGACTGCTGAAAGCACATCGTAAGAATCGATCCTGATATATCTTCTTGTGCACATCGGTTCTTATGATAACGCGTACTGTATGAACGACACAAGAATCGCGATGCATGGAGGCCAAGATGATCCATGTATCCTATGATCATCGATTACATGGTTGAATTCGACACAACACCGTCATGTAACTGTACATAGACCTGGTACCATTACTTATGTTGATAGTGATTCATAAACACGTGATCATCATATAGTCGGAATCGTACAATCGACTCTGCTTTATGCACAGTTCTCTATGAGATTGGAAAGGGTTTTGTCGCTTTGAATAAATGCACATTGTGTCCTATTTTAAACTTTATATGACAGTCAATCTCAGTTGATGTTTATCACTCATAACGACTTACTCGCCTATTCTTAAGTATTTGAACAGCAAATAGGAGTCTTTGACATGCAGTACAGTCACTAAATTTCGCTAAATAACTAAGGACAATCATCAAGGAAACGTGAATATCTAAACTGTATATTTCGATTGAAATTACGTTATCAACGTGTCTTTTCCTATTTCGTTTTGATTCGTTGGCCAGGGTTACAGCATTCAAGGTCTTAGTAAGGCTTTTAGTCGTTTTATGGCAGACATGTGGAGGACGTTTCAAAATTTGTCGCATCGTGACCAAAATGATGCTCGATGCAAACCTTAGTTTCACTTGTACCGTAAATGTATGTTCCCATTTTTAAAGTGAACACTTGATTTGACTTTGAATGTGTTTGTGGCATTTCGCAAACAACTGGTCTCATCATTATATTTCAAAGTGACTCATATACACAATGTCATGCTTTCGATATTTTTTCGATATATACCAAAAATATTTTGTCAGTTTTTATTCTAAAGGTTGTAATAGATATAGATCAAAGCTCTTTTACGCTGTCGTAATACGATACTTGTTATGATGATATCGGAGACGGAATATAACATTTCAAACAAAGGGAAAATTAATCATGAACATTTACTTGAATTTAGTGAAAACAACAATTTTAACAAAAAATAACTCTAAATAATCTAACAAACATGTAAATGTATGTATGTGTTTGACAAGACTGCATCTCGGTTTGCATTCACACTGTTGACCTGTAATATCTTTATTACATTTAGCATGAAGCATGGGATTCACACAATGTTACACTGACGTCAGCATGATTCATGGCCCATTTTAATCCACCTGATATCAAATAAACAGACACTGACAATAGACAGGAATAGTGATTAACACTGTTGAAACAATAGGTAGCACAGAGACCAAACATTTATAAACTATGAGTTGCTACAAGAGGTGTAGGCCTTATATTTAATTTGTCCATGTGGTGTGTCTTGATAAGTTCTTGGCTAATATGATCACAACTAGTGCTCGAAGTGTGTTTCACATATCTTAAATAGGTTATATGTTATGTTATGAAGATCTATATTTTTTCTCATTTTCCAAAAAAAGACGTTCTTGTTGTTGCGAAGTTGAGTTTATTTTGAGGAGATGAGTTTTGTGACGAGTGCTATCGATACGCAGGGTACAGACACCGTTCTGCAATTACCGGAATCATCACTATTTGATAGTGATTCTTCAACACATGCTTGTGATCTAGTCTGAAACGACCAAAGGACGAGTAAATATTTCTTATGATTATGGAAATGCTTGTGTCG